GAAGGGGGAGGCCCGCAAAAGGGGGGGGGGGGGGGGGCATCAGCCCTCCAGCTGTGCTTTAAATACAAATTCCACCATACCTCTGCGAGTCATGCTTGTGGCTGTCAGAGTCTTGCAATGCCTCATGGGACTTGCAGTTCCACAACAGCTGGAGGGCCGGTGTTATCTACCACTGAGCTAGAGAATAAACTAATGGGGCAATTCGGGATAAACAGCAGCAGAGGAAACAAAAAGAAAAACCTCCAGAGAGATCACTGGCTAAGGGTAGGAAGCTCACATACAAACATGGTGTCCCTTCCAATGGGGGCCTAGAATGTCATCAGAGCACCAATCAGGAGAAAGAGCGGCGGGCTCAAATGAGGAAAAAGTCAGTGCAGAAAACAAAAACACAGCCAACACGTTTCAGGGGTCAAACATCCTCCCCCTTCATCGGGGCCTGAGATCGAGTAACGTAACTGGACTCAAGAAGAGACTTGTATGTATTACTCTGTAATCTCTCCACCAGCAATGCCTGTGGTACGGACAGTAGCAGCTGTGGCCAGTGATTAATAAGCACAGATGAACAGATGCTTTACCAGGTTCTGTAAATGGAAAAACTGCAAGTCCCATCAGCCACCACAGCAGAGGGATTTGTAGTTCTCGATGGAATACAAGTGTGGCGACGTCGCTGCACTTCTAGTCCTCTCATTCTTCCTCCCATCCCTGTTGCTGAATGTGCGCACCTCAGTACAGACAAGGACGGGAGGAAGATTCTGCAGGAGCCAGCCACTGATCGCCGTTACAATGGTTCACTGGCTCCAAAACAAAAACCATCAATGCGCATTTGTTTCTTTTATGAAGATGTGTGCATTATTTTTCGCTAAAATGTGGATTTTTTTCCTTTAACCCCTTGCCGTCCACTCGTAAAATTACAGGCGGACGCTTCCCGACGGGTCGACATACATTTATGTGATTTACTTCCTGGATGTGCGTGCCCCTTAGCTACTTCATCAGCTTCTTTGGGGGTCCCTAGGTGACATTAAGGGGTATTAGAGACCCCTGATGTCTCCATAAAGAGGAGCTGTCAGTGTTTTTGGCTATCACATTGGGGGCTTATTAGCCTCCTATGAAATAGCAATTAAGTGTTAAAAAAAGTTAAGAAAAAAAAAAAGTCACACATAACAAAAACAAAAAAAACACCAAAAAAAGTTTTAAGTCGCCCGCCCCCAGCTGCACGCGCTTATAAACGTAAATACGCGTCGGGCGCGCCTACGTGTGAAAACAATGATTACGCCGCACGTTACATATCGCCGCGAACGGCGGAGTAACAGCAATAGTTATAGGGCCATCAATCACTGATAACACTACACTGATGAGCGCTAAAAGCTTTTAGAGCGTTGCCTACGGCCAATTTTTGGCACGGTAGTTTTTTGGGATTTCGTGGGTGCACGCAATTTCAAAGCTTCACATGTTTGGTGTCTATTTACCCGACGTGACCCCGTCTTTTATATTTTACCAAAAAACTGGCTGCTGATAAATGTTTTAGAAGATAAAGTAGGGAAAGCAGTTTTTTAAATAAATTTTTGGTACTTTTATCGTTATATAGTAAAAAATAAAAGCCGTAGTGGTGATTAAATACCACCAAAAGAAAGCTCTATATGTCCCTAAAAAATGGTACAAAATTAATTTCAGTACAACGTTGCATGACGAAATAAATGTCAGTCAAAGTACTGCAGCGCTGAACAATAAAAAATGGCCTGAACAGGAAGGGGGTGTAACACCGCGGTCAGCAAGTGGTTAATAAAGAACTCCAGGGAAAGTTGTTGTTAACCCTTGCAGTGGGGCTAGCTCATACTATAAGGGTCAAGTGCTGTTTTTTTACCTAGGGGGAAAATAATAAAGTTATACTCACCTGACCCTCCGAGCCGGCTTGTTCTTATAGACCGGTCCCTGCCGCCAGTCTCC